AATAAACTGCTAGGAGAGCACCCTGTGAATATTTAATTATGTAAGAACTTCCGGGTATTCCAAATTATGGTCCATGACAGTATCAGGTGGTTTCTAAAGCTCAAGGTACCTGCTTACCCAGAAGCTGACCCATTTTATAATTGCTACACCTGAGCTCACATGTTCTTCCTAGATTACTGTTGTCTCCATTCTTATAGCGTGGTGTTTCATAGGACAGTCAGCACTCTGGCAGGTTTGGGCCATGCTCCCCGGGATCATTAATCACACAGCACCCTACCAAACACTGCTCCTCACTCTTTGGAGGAGCTCCCCATGAACATCCACAAACCTCATTATCCTCCTCCTAAGCCCTCCTTAAAACGTTCCTTTGTGGTAATGCCTACAAAAACTTGAAAACAGTTAAGCCGTTGGTGTGCAGCTACCACAGCTTATCATGCTGATCAGTAGCGTCTCATTGTTTCCTTGTACTCCCTGTCAGTATCCATTTGTGGTTTCTTGTCCTATACTGAGATGTAAGCTCTTTGAGGCAGGGGCAGTCTTTTTATTCTGTGTTTGGACAATGCCTAGCATAATGGAGGCCATGGTCCATGATTAGGGCTATAAGGAACTATAGTAATACAGAAATAGGCCACGTCTATACTACAAACTTTGGACAACACAAGTTACATTGGCATACAGCCAAAGTTGGAATGCTTGTGTCAGTGCAAAAGTGCAGTGCACCCTGGGTAGTATCAGTGTGCCACATGCTGCCATCTGGCACAATGCTTTTGGGGAAATTTTCCCCATGTGTTGTGGGATAGAAACGACCCAGGAATCTCTGGGAGCTAGGGGTCAAGTTCCCAGCATGCAACTTCTCCAGCCCCTAATACCGTCCATATCCCATAATATCTGCATTTAAAAAAAAAAAAAAATACCACACACCGTGGGACAAATTTCATCTCTGACAGAAGCACGGAGCCCTCAGAGCTCTGCACTATTCTCATAAACATTGGAAGCACAGGACACGATTCTCCCGTATTTGCAGACTTGCAGGAAGTACCACATCAACGGGGGACACGGCAATTTATTCGATGAGAATTTGCTGACACAGTGAAAAACAATTCAAGGTTGCTGGTGGTGTTCATGGACGCCGGTGGTACTTCTGGGCCTGCGAAATGAGCACTGGCTGGTGGGATTGCATTGTAATGCAGGTATGGGGTGACAGGCCGTGGCTGCAGAACCTCTAGATGCTCAACCCAGCCCTCCAGGGACACGAAAAAGAAAAGTTGCACTGACAGCAGAAAAGTGAGTGCCAATCACACTGTGGAAGCCTGCAGTGCCAGATTGCTACTGGTCAGTGGGAAACAATTTTGGAACTTTGGGGCCATTGCCAGGCAAGTGAGTAGGGCCATTAATTGTCTCCCGCTGTGCAGGACTGTGACTCTCTGCAATGTGCAAGATGTTGTGGATGATTTGCACCTATGGAGACCCCAGTCGTGGTGTGGTGACTGACGGCACGCATACCCCTATTTTGACACCTGCCTGCCTTGCCGTACAATACATCAACAGAAAGGGCTATTTTTGTACAGATATGCAAGCGTTGGTGGATTACTGGGGATGCTTCACTGCTATCAGTATGAGCTTGTCAGAGAAGGTGAATGATGTGTGCACCTTTAACAGCAGAGGACTTTTCAGAAATCTGCAAGCAGAGACATTCTTTCCTGAGTGGTGGATTACCTTTGGCAATATTGAAATGCCAATAGTGATTCTGGGACCCAGCCTATCCCTTGCTCCCCTGGCTCATGAAGCCATTCACTGGCCACCTCAACAACACAAGGAAAGATTCCACTCACGGCTCAGCAGGTGCAGAATGACTCTTGAATGTGCTTTTGCTAGATTTAACCATTGTAAGGAAAAACGCATGCAAACGCTTACCTGAGGTCCCTTCCCCTTCATTGGGCTCATCCATGCTCACCTGGAGGGACTGGCTAGACTGGGGCAGTCTCAAACAGGTCCTGGCTTGTGATATGGCTGGAGCCTCCTGCCGTGTCTCTTCCTCCACCTCACTGTTCACAGCAGGAGTCTCTGTCTGGGGCTCCTCAGAGGTATCCATGGTGCTGTGCTGAGGGTGTCTCCACCAAGTAGGACGTGCAGTTTATTGTAATAGTGGCTGGTCTCTGGCTCAGCACGAGATTGATCGGTCTCCCTGGCCTGGTGGTACGCCTAGCCAAGTTCCTTTGCTTTCACGCAGCAGTGCTGCTGATCCCTGTCATACTCCTTTGCCTGCCTCCTCCACGCAATCTGCTCATAGATGTCCTCGTTACTATGGCTGGTCCATAGCTGCACCTGCACAGCTTCCTCTCACCACAGGCCCAGGAGATCCAATACCTCCTATCTACCCCTGGGGCAGGATTGCATGCAGCCAGCATGGCTGGCTGGACGGTCACACAGAAAAAGGAAGAGAGGCTAGGTGTGCTTGCCACTCTGGGCGATCAGGAAAAGGCATTTTAAAAACAAGCAGGAGGTTTGAAAGGAGACATGGGGATAGCTTCCAGTCTCCATGACTCCAGGGCAGTGGAGTTTACAACAGAGACCAGTGCGGTTCATGTTGCAGGGAATGTGGCATTCTGGGACAGCTGCTGGAGGACTGTTGGGGTCGACACAGGTCATACAGCGCCTACAGTAGCTCTGTGCTATCCTCAGGAGGTTGACCATGGCTCCACACTGTTTGGGGAGGTGGTTTTATTGCATTGCCATGACAGGACGCGTGCGTCATCCAGAGCAATTTGGGCGTAGAATCATGCACAGATAGGTTGACGAAAAGCGGCTTATGTCAACCTAAATCTGTAATGTAGATCAGCCTAAATAAAGATAATAATATTAAATTATTTAGGATCTAACAGAGATTGTATCTTCCTTTCTGTCCCTGATGCAGCCTTCAACACTTTGCGGCTAATCAGAATTCCTCCTGTATAAACTACGGTCCAAATTCACCCCTGGGTGTGTCGCCATTGATAGAGATGGAGCAATACCAGAAATGAATTTGGCCTAGTCAGTTACAATTCAAACTAAGAGTTCAAGAGGTGAATGACAGCAGCAGCTTTAACGTTTATTTTTGGTCCCCACGTCCTACAGAGAAGTTACAGTCAGTCACATTACCAAGGCCTTGCAGTTAAAAGAGGAAAAAATCTCATTAAATATTCAAACTAAATATGCTTTAAAATATAAAATGCTAATCGTAAATTGGCTCGGGTTTTATGTTTTTGGAAGCAGAGACACAGCACTGCATTCTTAAGCAAAGATGATGCAACGGCCTCTCAAAGACTGTCAGTGCCCAGAGGAAAAAAGGCTGGCAGTGTTCTCCAAATGTGTTTACTTCCCCACAGGCATTGTTTCCTTGCTCGTGTCACATAGTTTATTGAGCACAGCTAATCAATGTTTCCGCTGACAAGAAAATTGGAACAGTTTATTTAGGAAGCCAGTGTTCAAGGGCAAATTTCCCAGTCCACAGAGTTTAGACCTGGGCTCCTTCCATGCAAGTGTCCCTAGTGAGAAACAGGTCCGCTTTCCCTTAAAGGCACCGGGATGCGATCCCACCGTGCCCCTTCCCCAGTACTCACCTAGTTTCCCACCAGACCCTTCCCTAACACACACCAGATTCCTTCTGCAGATGCCTGCTTCCCACAGCAGATCTACCTCATGGCTTACCAACCACTCCCCTGCTCCCTTGCCCTTAAGCCCTACTGTCCTGACCAGAATCCCCCCATGATTCATCCGTTAACCATTGAAACAACTTACCAAGGATCAGGGTGGACTCTCCATCAGTGGCAATTTTTAAATCAAGATCGATGTTTTGCTAAAATACATGCTTCTGCTTCCAACAGGAATTAATTCAGGGAAGTCCTATGACCTGCGTAGTACAGGAAGTCAGACTGGATAATCATAATGGTCCCTTCTGCCCTTATAACCTATGAATCCTTATGAATCTTCTGGATGCCCCTTTCAATGATGATTCCCTCATTTTGTCTTCTGAGGGTGGTTGGCTGGTCCCTCCTCCAATCTGGCTTTTTAGATGGTGGCATTATTTCTCCCACCCCAAACCCAGAGCAAGAAACCAAATTCTTCAGGGAAAGTGTGGGGGTTCATGTCTTTTATAGGCAAAGCAAGAGGAGAATCCCATCCCAGTAAGTAGCATTTCCCTGTATTGAGGAACCCCCTAGGGCAGCTAGGCAGATGTTCCACGGTACAGAGAAAACTTGTCCATTACAGCTGGGGTTCCTTGCACTGATGAAATCACCAAGCCTGAAATAAGTAATCAAACAACAAATATGGCCACCTCTCACAGCCTATTTGATTACAACTCCCTGCTGTTAATAAAATGAAGCTGCATATAAAGCAGGGATATTTCCCACTGTCAACCCTTTTCCCTGTCAAGAGTGTGGGAATTCCTCTTTGTCCAAAGCACCTAAAACTAGAATGAGCCCTAGAAAACAGCATAAGGGTGCATGCTGCCTTGGCAGAAATTGAACTAGGTATCCTCATGGGAATTTTGTATGATGCATGTCTCAGCAGAAGTGTAAGTTTGGCTCTTGAGTCCTTCGACAGGACAGTGTTAGTTATATCAAGGTTTATAAAACATTTTTCATAAGGTGGACATCTTGAGAGAGACACTGTCTCACGGACAACTTTCCTAGCATTGATTGTGTGAACCATCTCCCTTCCCCCTGATAATCAAACATCTCTTTGGCAAAAAATCAATGGCTTACCTGAAAAAGTGACGACAGGAAAATATTTGACATATTTTAGCTTCTTTTAAAGTGATTTAGCCACTGGAAACAAGGAGAAAAACTAACAACATGTGACCAGCCATCTCTATGGACTATTTGGAAACTGCTAGGGTAGCTATGTTGCATTGCAATGTACTCTCTGAATTGGACTGAAGTCTGATTTTTCACATCACCCTTTGAGACAATCTAATGCTTTTACAAGCCTGTGTTGCTTCTTTCTACATACAGGAGATGTCCAAGTTAGGCCTTGGTGAAAACATAGACCTACACATCATGCAACTGCCAGTGGCTTACCGAAAAGCAAAGGAGCTTGTCTGCAAGATATGGGGGACTCTTCAACCACTAGTGAGTGATCATTATATAGCTGAATTCTTTCGGTTAAATTAAAATTGAACCAAATAATACAGTCTCTGTTCAGAAGGTGGATACAGCTTGTGCACTAGATATAGTCAGAAAATAGGATAGAAAAGGAGGATAGAACTCCTGAGCGTGTGCCAAGAAGTAGGGTAGATGGACCAGAGAAATCTATTTGAACTTTAAAAATCTCTCCCTCTTTTCAGCACACAAAACAAAGGGTAATATCTTTCAACCACCTGAAGTGATAGTGAGCAATGGAATATAATTTTGTCCCTCTGAGAGGGACAAAATGGACAATCAGGTCTTTGAAGGACAATGCTGTGGAGTGTTTTCATAGTACAGCCACCAAGAATATTAGTGCCAAGGATTCTCTATATTTTTCATTCTGTGAACCACTTCATCAGAGACAGAGCCCTTACGTGATCTCACTTTCTTCTCCCAACCTCCTACTGAGTGAAACAATATGAGAATCATTCTGTGGACCATCACCAAAGACTTCATGAGCCACTGGTGATCTACACCACTGGAAATAGTGATGCTTATAATCTTCATGAGGAGGGCCTTTCCCAAAAGAAGTCATTCAGTCGCTAGAATGGCTCCTGGCAGCTCTCAACAAGGATCTGATGGAGGGAAAGGGCCATTAGACAATCACCCAAAAGTGAACGTTAGCCAGACCATGGATGGACTCAGTGCCTGTTTATAGGAGTGTGAACTGTAACAGAGGTAGCTGAATGTGTGAACAAAGCCAACGTAACTCTGGGCAAAGAGCAAAAGGGGTGAAGTGCTGGATTCTGTGACAGTAACTAAATTAAGCTCAGAAAAACAAACATGGAAAAATACATGGGGAGATTTTGGATGCACATCTGAGAAAGCATGGGTGTTGGAGGAATATTTCTCTCCTGTATCTAGTTTAGATGGGGGTGGTGCAGAGATACAGACCTCCTTTGGTTCCTTCACAGCAATCAGATGACAGCTGAAGAGAGCCTTTTACGGGCCAAACAAACATCTATAGTACCTAGTCATCTATCTAGGTTCTTAGATGATGCTCATCATCAGGACACAAGTGTGTAGCCTTCTAGGATAGGATGACTGCTAACCATTTACTCACTACATATCAGTGTAAGAAATCTACCACATGAATGTTTGAGAAGTTTAAAGAAACAGCTATTATTCAAGAGGTGAATGTACGCTCCTTAGATACATTTTGGGCAACTGTTCAATTTGGTTTTTATTGAATCCCCATAAAAAAAAATCTTCCTCTTATAAAAGGAAATGAGATCAACACAGAATGTCAGGCTTTTTAACAATGTTTTTGTGGAATAAATTTGAATCAGCTGTATACATATCACTGCTAGGAAAAAATATTTACACTTTTCAAAAAAAAATTTAGAAAACAAAAAATAGTTCATTATTGAATCTTGGGGTATTACATGGACTGGTAAAGTTGTAATTTTTTTATAGTTATGAAATGTCTATTTTACCACACTAAGGCATGTTCCTCTCAGTAGGCAAATTTTTAAATCAGGAGCACTTAATGAGAATTAGGAACATAAATAACTTCTGCCTAATAGAGACGCATTTATCTGGTATCAAGTGATTAAATGGAACTTACATATAGTGATGAGCATGGTATAAAATATATATGGTGCTTAACTATAAAATAAATAGTCTTGACCTACAACCCATTGATAAACACAGATTTGGGGCTAAATCTTGCAATCCTTGTACATCCAAAACTTTTTACTTAATGAAGTTTTGGGTGTGCAAGAAACTCAGGATTTAAGCTCTAAAAGAAGAAATATAGCTGAAGTACAGGAAGTATCTCTTATTGCAGCATTTTCATCCAATAGAGTTTTTGTCATTTTAAAATGAGGCTTTTAAAAAAATCCTTCTTTGCTTAACTGGGAAAACTACTTATCTGGAATAAGAAGCTGCTGACTTTGATAGCTTGATTAAGAGGATTCTTTGTCCTGAGGGCAATATCATCTGGAGTGGGTCTTTAAAACCTCCCCAAAAGTATTACACAATGTGAATGTCAGACAGGATTGGGGAGGTGCAGTTTAAAGTATCAACTAAAGCTTTATGATGAAAATTGGTGCAACTTAATGCACATACTAATGAGGGAATAGTTTAGCTTTTAACAATGGCGCTATATGCAGAACAGTGGAAAGAACCGCTGTAAGTTACAAAAGAACGCTGCATGTATCCTTGTGCTGAATTCCTGATCTGGCTAGATAAAACAAACAAAAGTCCAATTTTGTTCTACATTACAAAGGGTTATCTAAGTTTTCTGTAAAGAGGAGCTATAAGCAAGACACTCCACCTTGGAGCTGGTATTTCATAAACTGCTTGGCGCTATTGCACTGGATGTTTTTAAAAACAGGTCTGTCATTTTCATTTCCTGTAATTCACTCTGGTGGGGGCAAAAAAACAGCTTACTGTTCACATCGGACTCACTTCATCCTCCAAAGCGATCATCATCCTTGAACAGTGTGGGAAGAACAAAGGCTACAAAGAGATGGATGTTTGTGGTTTTTGCCCAGAAGATGGCTGTTGTCTGTTAGATGGCCCAGAAAGGATTGAGTCTACAATTAATATGAAAACTCTCTGGAAAAACATTTCGGTGGAAGGGATTGATGTCATCTTTTCCAGAGATGCAGGAAGGTAAACACATTATTAGTGGGAGAGGAAATTAAAGCAGCTCATTTCACCTTCAAGAATCATTACAAGGACTTGCTCCCCCACCAATACATATATCTACTTAAAGTTAACAGTCACAGGCGTGAAAAGGACACGAGGGACTGAAAATTTAGACTGAAGATTTGCACAAAAAGTAAGGCCAATAGAAATGTTTCTTTAAATTTGTAAATTCCAGTAGAAACGATTTTTAAAACAAAATATGACAGTGACTCAAATTTTTCAGCACTGTGCAAGATAATGAGAAAGTGATTCTGACTAGCCACTGACTTCAATCCACTTTCATTGTCCAAACGGAGCGAGAGAAGCACAAAAGGTGAACGAGCAGCCTTCACAGTAAACAAATTGATTTTAAAACTTTTTTTCTTAAAAAAAAAAAAAAAAAAAAAAGGTGTCTAGGGCAACTAAATTTTTTTAATGTGATTCTTTAACCAATCTTTAAAACAACAAACAAAAACGAGGATTCTTGAAGGTCAAAATTAGTTTGTTTTTATTTTCAGACTGTTTGGGTCTCGGAGTGATGTGATATAAGAAAAGGGAAGAATTTATCCAGGAAGTATCTTACACATACAACATTTTTTGAAATTGTGCTACTTTTATGTAGGGGGGTGGGAAGTGGGGCTATAGAGTGTGTGTGTGTATACACAGTTGGGTAATTTTCCTATCTAATTTAGTTTATGAGATCTCACAAAACAACGCATGTATAAGGATTTTTATTTTGCAGTAGCTATTGAGTGGATGCCCATCAAATCAAGCCAACACTCAAGGAATGTTTGTTTCTCAACTGTTTGGGTTTTTTTTTTTAATTTCCATTTTTTCTAATACAAAGCACATAAACCAAATCTGGCTTAACTGCTTAAACTGTGTTTAATTCAATAGAAGTTTTGCTTTCCTTAATTCTGCTTTTTTTTTTTTAAATGTCATAGGTACATCTGTGATTATACCTATTATACCTCTCTGTATTATGGTAATGGAAGAGCAGCTTTTATACATGTGCCGCCATTATCCAAATTGGTAACAGCAGACTTTCTAGGAAGAGCACTACGAATAATTATCTTAGAGATGTTAAAGCAGTGTGGGGAAAAGAATGAATAAAAAGGATGGTTTACAGAAGACAGGCAAGTTTCTCAGAATACAGTAAAATTATTTTACCTTCCTCTGAGGCAACCCTTAAGATTTAAAATAAAACAAACCCAAAAATTACATAGCATGGGAGGGGGGAATTAAAATATGTTCTAAAATCCTACAATAACTTTATTTTAGCCATTTTTTCATTACATAAAAAACTTGAAAGTAAAACAAATTACAAACAAAGGAAGAAATGTAAACAATCTTTTAAGGGAACACCAGTGATTGGTGATTTATCTTGCTAATGGTAACAAATTTACTTCTGATTTAGTATACAAGGAAAAGTCTCAAGAAAATGGTATTTAAAAGGCTACCTTGCCCAAACCCCAAAGACTTGGGAAATGAAATGTCAAGATACGAAGTGCTTTAAAAAGCACGTTGAAAGTTTGTTCCTGATGTCAGATATGCAGGTAGACTTCATACAGCTTACATAAAAAAAACTGAGGTGATGTGCATGATTACAACCATACAAAATTACAACTTCATATACACACAAGGGAGAATTTTTCCCCTGAAGCCCAGAAGAATAGATCAGCCATACAAAAGCTCTCATTTGTGGATGAGAATCACATGCAATGCTCCCATCTTGTGGACCTTTAAAATCACCCCTCCCTCACACACACACACACGCACAGCAGTTTACCTTTATGTGCCAAACTACTGTCCCCTCCTCAAAAACTCACAGAGCTTTTCAGCAGTGACCCTTGCATTTGCTTTCAGGATGCATTAGCAGGAAGCATCTTTGAAAGGCTTAGTCAGCGTGTTTTTAGGGAGAGAGCTGTCTTTTGGCACAATGGAGATGGTATCATTCATTGCTGGTATTGTGTGCCTCCGCATCAAAGCAGACTCTAAACGTCTTCTGATGAATTAGGGATTACAACCGAAAATGGATTTTTCCAATTTGGCAACAACAACCACCACCGTTATTAAACTGGATTTCAATCACAAGAAAAGAACACTTACCCCATGCTCTAGGTGTCCATGCTGTAAATGAAAAAACTTATACATAGTATAGCATGGGGGAAAGAGACTTTGAGGTCAGATGGTCCCAGGCCATTCAGGGCTTTATAGATCAAAACCCAACAGCTTACATTCCCACAGGAAGGGCAACTCATGGAGCAAGGGCAACACCAGGGCTGCATGCGTTGTCATGGCAGACAATCCCATTTAAAAAGCAAGCTACTGCATTCTACTCTAGTTTCAGCTTCTGGATGGATTTAAAGGGGTCATTTCTCAAGACAAGCATTGCTGGAATCCAGTCTCACACCAGATCATGGTAAGACGATCTGCACGCAAGAGGAAAGAATGACCTCTTAGCTACATGGATGGAAAGAGGAGTCTTGGTCATTGCTGCCCTTAGATCATCAAAAGCAGCTGGAAATCAAAGCAGATCCCTTGGTAACCAACAGTGACATGCTTTCAGCCAAATCCTTTCACTGCTCTCATCCATGTCTCACGCACAGGCAAACACGTTAAAATACACTTCCATACTACACTCTCTGGACTGGACAGGACAGAGGCATGAAGTAGGGTGTCACTGTTGCACTCAAAGCAGCTCAGCCCATATTCTCCTTGGTAACCTCACTAATGGCTTCACATACACGCTGAATAAGAGGGGAGACCAAACAGCCATGACATACCCTTCAAGAAACAGCCATTGGGGCAGGAGAGGAATCACCCAATTGGACCCTCTGGGATTTCTCCAAAGGAAAGATATAGAAACAACCTAAAAGCAGGCCAGCCCTCTCAGCCAGTACCATATCAACACCTCCTCAGTGACAAAGACAGCAGATAGATGTATCAGCACAGAGACCTGATCTTTATCCAACTCCAAGCTATGATTATCATGCCATTAAATGCAGTCTTTGTGTTGTAAACCCTGAATTACAAGGGTCAAATGAGTCAAAAGCATGAAGATACCAACAGCTGTCTTGCCATAACCTTTTTCATAGTCTTAGTAGAAAATGCACTTAGGTACTGGTTGATAATTAGACTGCCAGTGTCTAGAGATGGCTTTGAGCAGTGGCTGAACATATGCTTCCTTCAAAGAAATCAGCATCTTGCCTCCTTCAAAGGAGCCTACAACCTCCACAAATAAAGGACTCAAAGTCTTCTGGGGCTTCAACAATCAAGCTCAGTGACGCTGTCTGGAACTCGAACAGGGAAGGCCTAGCACTTACACGCTAAACCAGGGATTGGCAACTTTTGGCATGAGGCCTGGGACGGCTTGTTTACCAGCAGCGACCGCAGGTTCAGCCAATCGTAGATCCCACTGCCACGGTTCACTGTTCCAGGCCAACGGGCGTTGTGGGAAGTGGCGCAGGCCGAGGGATGCGTTGGCCACCCTTCCCACAGACCCCATTGGCCTGGAATGGCGAACTGCGGTCAGGGAGCTGCAATCAGCCGAACCCGCAGGTAAACAAACCGTCCCGGCCCGCCAGTGGATTTCCCTAGCAGGCCGCATGCCAAAGGTTGCCAATGCCTGCACTAAACAGATGTGATACCTTAAATAAAAATAAAATAAAATAATAATAAAAAAAACCACCAGAAAAACTGTAGGGGGCAGGCTATCAAATGTAGGAGAGGTGGAATTTTTAGTTTTCTGGGACTATACTTTCTTTGCTTAAGTTTGGGCTAGCAAATAACAAAAATCAGAAGACAGACAAATGCATACAGAATTCTTTTATTTAACTTAAATCATGTAGTACTGTAACTACTAGAAAAAAGCAGAGTAAGAGAAACTAAAGGAGCCTTAGCTTCAGCCATTCAAAATAGACAAAGTTTCCTTTTTTTCATAATGTAAAGAATCCAGAGTATATCGCAATAACAGGAATAAATTCTTACAACAGAATATACAAAAACATTTTGAAATTTTTTATCATCTACTGATTCATTTTAATATAAACACAGGAATTTCTTTAGGAATAATTTATACACAGCAAGTCTTTTTTAATGTAATAAATTGGCCATGTTATTACTGTTTTAATTTTTTTTTTAAAAAAAAGCTTTTTTAAACAAGAAAACTTGATAAATGTTGTATTTGCAAATGCATCAGTTCCATAGCGCTTTCTAGTTTTGTTTTTGTCCCAGAGGTAGACATACTCTGGCCAATCCTTTCAACTCAAACCTCACTGGTTTAGAAAACAGAAAGATAATTCTCAAAGGCATCTAAACCATCCATAACCTTCAAAAGGTAGGGGAGGGGAAATGTTCAGTCTAATTTGGGGGGAGAAGGGGAAAGAAAGATCTTCGGTATTCTTACTTAAATAAAAATAAATAGGGACCCTTCCTTGTTCATCTCAACAAAGCTCTAATGATGCTAGATAGCTACATAACTTGTATAGGCTGCACAAAACCATCGGATTTGAAGTGATAAGAAATCTGTAAACATAGTTTTCTTTTATTCAATGATAACTTTGAAAACTGCCTTTCATCATGCTGTCTATTACGCAGTCACATCCTTCAACCCTGGCAACAATAAGAAAAACCGGTACTGAATAACACAACTAAGACTGCTTAGCAGCAATACCTATTCTGTTTCCGTAACCAATGAGGTTCTTTCAATCCATTAACTGCACTATACAGTAAAGTGAAATGACCAGTTAAGATGATCCCACCCAAACCAGAGGGTTCTGGAAGACCAGGATACTGAAGATACAGAACATTTTCCCAAACTCTTTATTTAATTTATTTACTGTACACCGGGACACAAAGCTTGGGGGGAAAGGGATGAACCATGAGTTGGGCAAGTTAATGATCCTTTTTGGCATATTATAAAGCTAGCTAGTAAACTGGTACCATCAAAAAAAAAAAACCCTGATCATATACAAACATACACACACACACACACGGACACAGGAAAGTGCCTTTAAATTATTTTATAGGCATTTATAAACTACAAACATTTTATAAAATTATTCTATGTATTATTCTTCCATGTACTTACAAAATGCAATGAAACATTTAATTAGTTCTTGTAAACCAGATCTTCGTCAACTGACTACCCGTAATCTACTGGACTTAAAAGCCCTATTGAAAATGCTAATGGATTACTAATCAACATAATGCATACAAAAAAGATGACCATTCGCACATGCACACATACTATCGATAGTCATATGGTACTTGCAAAACACACTGACTGAGAGCTGATGCACAGCAATTCATATTGACCAATGACCTCTGTAAACCTCCAATGAATTTACCTCCACAGCTGGGAAATTAAGAGGTTTATTTACAAGTACCAAATGATTAGAATGATGATGCCTGAGCCTTGATGCTGTCCCACATACCAAGCTCTGGAACGATCGCAAACTTCTGCCAAGCCCTGTGCCTGTGTGAATATGTATTTCCATCCTTTGTTCTCATCTCTCCTCACGACCATTCTCAATTCCAAGTGACCCGGTTGAGTTTCTTAAAAGCACAAACAAGTAATTTAAATGCCTTTACTCAGAACCACTGGTCTTCTGGACCGAGGGACTCGCTGAGCCCCTGACTACTCACAGTTCTGTATCTTCAGCACCTCTGGCAATTAATGTTTAATCTACATCATCCTTTATTTGTAATTACTGTTTGCATCAACTACATAGAGTAGTAGACCTGCAATATCTGGCTTTCACTGGTTAATAAGGAGTGGATCTCTTGCACTTTCCCCCATTGTTGCTTAGCCCAGTGATTAAATACATTGTTGACAAACAAAATAAAAAGAGTAACAGAAGAAAGTGTTACTTGTACTACTGGAATGAAAAGGGTTTTTAAAATATACATATATGTATACCAACAACAGGACCGTCATTCATTTAGGCTTGGGTTGTACTTAACACCCCTCAGCAGTTCCCAGAGGATCTAATAGCAGTTCCATCTGGTGACCAGTCATCCTGGGCAAACTGGGCTTTTTATTGACACCAACAGGAGCATCAGTGCAAACACATCTAGAGTCATACATCACTTAGAACCAGCTTTAAAGAACGGAGGCATCACACCGAGAAAGAGGCTTGGTGGAACATGTGCTGGCCTCAAGTTTTGCATCATACTCGGCTTCTGTGTCTAGTCTATTACCCCAACAAAAAGAATATCATACTTAGTACCAAGCATGTGATGCTTCTGTATTTATACAATAGTCACCTTCCTTTGCAACCAAACCACCGTCTGTACCACTGAAAGATTTAATGATGACAAAGTCAGATGAGAAGAATGGCCCACATACTTAAATCAAACTTTCTTGCTCCCTTAGTGATGCCAGTTTGTTACTGATATCTTGGTACCATTTGTCAGAACACTTGTTTTGCAGGTTGGGTGGGTTTTTGTTTTTTTAATCAATCATGCTCAGAAATGGGATTAATACAGTTTTAGTCAAACACAGCGGAAGTTCTAAATTCTCCATATCAGCAAGCCAGTGGTCTCTCAGGAAAAGGAAGCATAATTCGCCATTTTATGCCAATATCAAGCCGTTAATTCTCCATTGTTCACATACACAATCTTATTTACTGTTAAAGGGAGATCTGCATGAAAAACCCAGGCAGATAAAGCTATTCAGAATGCATAAAAAACAACAACAAAATGCTGTAGAAACCAACATGGAATTAGGCTAGAATTGTGAGCAGAGAATACAATGGTACTTGTGAAGGTGGTTTGGTCCAAGAGAACTGACTTTGTCATCACATGTGCATACTTCGTTTAGTCACATGACTGCCTCTCATTTAAGTGCTTTTGAAATGTTTATCACGATGGGGTACTATATTGTTAGTGTTTTTTCCTAATATATTTTTTAAACCACCTATATAACAATTAAAAATAAAAACCCAAAAACATTAACTTGGACAGTTTTAACAAAACCCTCATAGCCAGCTGAAAGATCTGAGGATCTCCAGTTGTGGAAATCAGTATGTGCAAGAGAGAGGAGCAGTCACTACACCAAAAGGTCACTGTCAAATTAGGGAAATTAAAAAACGAAAAGGAAACCCAGTCAATCTGAAATGTTGTCGGCTTTTTCTGGTGTTAGGGAGAAACGCTCCCTCCAAAGACAAACTCTGTCATACTTAACCGCAGCACTGTATATTCAAGAGGCCATGTACATCTCAAAGTATCCAAGCGCCACATTATTCAGATACCACAACTAACACCTGCATGAACAGCTGCCAGAATCAGAAAAAAAGAGAAACATTATACATTGTGTTAATGGCGGGCTTGTGTTATGTTAGTGCTGTATGCTTGTAAACCAGTTAAGCACTGTCAGAGGGAAGTCAGAATTTGACGGCTGGTCCATCAGAATCCAGAGTGATGAAGTATGTGTAGAGAGGGGGTTGGGAGGGACTGGATTTCTACTGGCACATTCAAATTTCCCATTTAACGTTTAGTTTTGAGAAATCAGGGCTCTTGCCAAACAGAAGTAGCAAATGTAAAGACCCCACATTTTAAATGCAGTCTAGTGTTATCAGGTAGCCTGTGATATTTTTGCCCTGTTTGATTTGGTTAAGACAGCAATGCTACTGCTGTATGCTCCAAGTTCTTTTTAGGTGCTGATTCAGTCAAATGTCCTTTTGGTGCTTGTGGCATCTGAGAAAAATTGGCAAGAATGACTTAGCCCCACTCTTAAGGATTAACCGAAAGGCCGTTTATTTCATTTTAACAACCCTAGACTTTCAAATATGGTAAACAATTGGCTTCCATAATGAATTTGATCAAATACCATCATTAATCCCCCTACAGCTGTCAGCTCTCTCCCAACTCAGCAGAACATATAGCGATTTGCTGAACTATGACTGCAAGGTCAGGGCATTTCACAGCTTCCGAGACTCCTTGAAGAATGGTGGTCTTAAGTCAAACAATTCTCAGGTGTGTCTCCTCCCCTCCCCACAACATAAATCTTAAAAATGCTACCAAAAAAGGGCAAACTGCTATAAAATAACATGAGAACCCTCTGAAGTGACCCTTTGGGAAAAGTAGCGACCGCTTCTCTCCAAAACCTAGAGTATGTGGTTTGTAGAGTGAGTGAGAAGTTACCAGTATCAACGGCATTTCTATCGGCTGCTGAGAAATGTGAGATGTATTTTTTTTATATATACACATATAAAAAAATAAGAGTGAGGTAGATAAATGTTTGAAAAAAAATCAAAAACTGTCCCCCTGTCATACTTGAAAACCCTTATCTCAGTATTTAAATTTATTATGGGGCATCTCTACAGTGATTTAAACTGATATCACAAAAATAAATAAAAAAATCCTACATAGAATACCTTCTTAATTAACTTGTTTTTTTTTTTTTTTTTGTCTTTTCTTTAAAGGGAAAAATAACTATGGGACAGAGGCAAGAGAAGATAGTGGGACCTAAAACTACACAAGCAAAAAGCACTACAAACATTTTTTTTTTTAATCTCCAGTCACAACGAGCAATCAGTATATTTTAATTCTTTGTTCTTACTCAAAAAAAGTTAACATTTCCATCCCAGAACAACCTCTTTACTGCCATCATTTGGTTGGATCAGTGCTAAACAAGAGGTTAGATGCTATAACTAACTTTAGATGAGCAACTGTTATGGCTCCTTTATTTTAGACTTACATCATGGCCCCCACCACACCCTCCTTAAACCCTGCCTCCTTGCCCACCACATTCATAAAGCTTCCTCTGCCAAACAAGCAAGCTACTATTCTCTTTTGTGCTGAAGTTTGGTCTATGGTCTGAGCAACAAGCTTGTATTTGTACACGTTTCCACAGCTCCTGCATTTAACTGTTTGCTAGCAAACCTGGTGGCCCCTACCCACTTGAGGGCACTCTCATCCTCCCTGCATGATCTCCACAGCATGCTATCATCGAGGTTGCTGGCAAACGGGGGGGGGGGGGGGTGTCGGCGGATGGGATCTTGAACAAGGTGCAGCCCAGAAATGTGGCCTTTCAACATCTTCTAATGAGAAGACCTAGTAGCTGAGGTCTGCTAGATCAGAACGTTGAATGGCCATCTACATAAAAACGCCTGGCACGGACAGCTCAACTGATGTAGACTCAACACAGCTGTTGTTCATGGGATGGAAGGGTTAAAATATTCATTTTAAAAAATAGAGACCCAAAAGCCTGGTGTCCGCTGTTGTACCCAACAATTAAAAAAATATATATATATGCGTGTGTCACAACCAAAGTAAGAGGCAAAGGAAGGAGTGGGGTCTGACTCTTGTACAACGATGAATATGAACACTGAACAAGAATGTACTCAATAGGTAACCTTTTTTTTTCTGACCTGAGTTTGTATCGTGCCTTGCACTGTAACAGACTCGCGTGCTGCATGGGCAGAGGTTAGCGGAGGGAGGGAGGGAGGGTGTGGTTAAAACCACCACTACCAAAGCACCCCTGGAGTGCTACTGGTTAATTACCCCTTCTCCCCCAGTCCCTTCAACAGCTCTGTATCCCACACAGCCAAGATGTTGTAAAACAACTAATGGGGAAAAAAAAAAAAAAAAGGAGGAAATGTATTTATAAAAAGCCATTAAACAGTTCATGGCAAATCATGTTACAGGGATCAATTACTCGGAAGAAGGAAGTAAAAGTTACACACTATAGTACAAAGCATAAGAAATTTGTTGGAGTGGGGGGAAGGGAAGGAGGGCAGACCTGAAGGTTTTCATAGATTAAATCCACAAAGATAAAGAACAAAAAAAATAGCAGCTTTTTTCTGTACAGACATATAGATGAGTATCTGAACCGTAAAAAAGTTATAAAAGTGACACAAAAGACAATGTGTATGCAAATGATCCATGGTCTAACATAGAACTGCAAGACCCTTCGAGAAGTCTTAACCCTTCGAGAAGTCTAATAACAGAGAGAAAAGGTCAACAAAGCGTCGTATACTTGAATCCGTTACCGCTTTTTTGTCTTCTCCAATTTTTGTTTCGACATGTGTTTTCCTGCTAGTCTGAGAAGGAGGGCAGGCTGCAATGATGGAGATCCCTTCCGGTTCATTTCAGGCTGGTTTGCTGTTTTTGGCGTGCGGTCGACTTTTTGCACGAAGTATATATAGAGTGTACGAGACAGAGAGAGACAGAGTGTGTGTGTGTGTGTGTGATATTTGGCTCACCACTGCCAGTTTTGTCCAGAATTCTTGGTGGGGGAGGGTGGATGGGGGGAAGGCTGTTTCTAAACCCTGCCCCCCTTTCCTCTCCATCATGAGAAAACAAATCACGTTTTGTCCAGTTGAAAAAAAGATCTAGACAATCTGATTTTTTTAAAATACCAGTGTATGATTGAATGGAGTGTATTGGTCAGTATCTCTTTTAAATGGAGCAGTTGATTACTGTGCTCCTTCCAAGCCTACAAAAACAAACACCCCCCTACCCCATGAAACAAAACCACCACCACCCCAAAAAAGTTCAGTTTTTTGGCAAAATTTGGCAGCGTTGAAAATGGTAACAACCTTGGACGAATGATGGCCCTTTTTAAATTCTTTTATGTGTTCCTAAAAAGGTTAGAGTAACATTAAAAATCCAGTCTTTTTTTCTTTTCTTCTTTCTGTCTTTATAAAGACCTACAGTGTTAAGCAGGTGCTTGCAAAGGCTAACGGGGAGCCACCTGGCCTGCAATTTCTTTGATCTGATAGAAGTGCTGTATGGTTGAACTTGCACGCAGATATGTTTCCCATTATGAAGCAGAAAGAAAGAGAGAGAGAGAGAGAAGAGACACATCAGATCTCAAGTTTTCTGTTGCTATTAAGTGTTAACATTAGAGTTTTAAAAGGATGACTGTGTGCCCCACTGAACGGAGTCCTTTACTGAAATAAACATCTGCTTGCATATTGAACAAAGAAAAACTAACGTGTTTACTGAAAAGAGGATTCTCCCATGTGCAGCTATGGCAGTTCTGAAGATCCACTGAGGTACAGTAGGCTTTTGAATATATTTTCTTTTCTTTCTTTCTTCCCCCAATGTGTGTGTGTGTTTGTGAGATTCTGGGTTTTAAGGATCAGCAGGCCGAAGACTGGGGCAAAGGTAAGGCCCGTTCATTCTTGCGTCCCCCGTTCATGTGTGCGTACGGCTGTCTCTCCTCAAAGCTGGCCCGCAGCACCACCACGCCTGGGCCGTTCTCAGCTTTATGTCCTGAGTGCTTGTCAGTGGGTTGGAGGGTGGAGGAGGGATCTAAAGGAATGCTCTCCATGTTTTCAGTCTCCAGATCGAGTTCCTCGGTGTCTGGAGGCTTGTTCTCTTCACTGTAGAAGAAGGAGACCTCTTTGAATCCTGGATCCAGCTCATCCTTAATGCTGCTGATTATTTCCAGGAAGGAGGGCCTCATCTTGGGGTTGTACTGCCAGCACATCCGCATCAACTCAAACCTGGAATGGAAAAAGGAAAAAAAAACCACCATAAAAACAAAAAAATCCTAGCAAAATAATACACATATGCAATTTGATATATTTACATAAGTCCTTTTTGAACCCTGAAATACACTCCATTCTGACTTTTCACACTGCAGCCACATCCTGCCATTGCACAGGTCCCATTGCTTAATTGCACTAAACAAAAGTATTCATAATATGAAATACAACACTAAGAGTACAAGTCTCCTAAAACCAGAAATACCCTCGGTGGAGTTACAACCTGGCTCCCCCCGCCCCAGTTTCGAATTGGCAAGTTTGAATATGCTATAGGATACGGGAGCGATTCAGGCAGATTATCTGCACCAAAGTTATGAAGAAGATAGTTTACTAAATTGTAAAGGCCAGAAAGGACCACTGTAATTGTCTAGTCTGCCCTCCTGAACACCACAGGCCACTGACATGTCAGCCAGTAATTCCTGCATAGAGTCCAATAAATGATGACTGGATTAGAGCATATATTTAGAGAAACATTCAATCTTGATTAAAGGAAGAATGAGGAAGAAATCACCTAAAATGGACAGAGAAGCTAAACAGACTGACGTCTTTTTGCAGCTCACGAAAGCTCATGCTCAAATAAATTGGTTAGTCTCTAAGGTGCCACAAGTACTCCTTTTCTTTTTGCGAATACAGACTAACACGGCTGTTACTCTGAAACCTGTCTTTTTGCAGGACGTCTTTACGTCTTTCACTGCACAGTGTTTTCCCAAATATGCACTCCTTTTTGCAGTGCTTATCTGAATCGTCTCCAATTTTTCAATACTTTTTGTACGTTATGGACACCAGTAGCACTCTCATCAATACCATATATCATCTCTCCACCTCTACTCAACTTTCCCCTGTTTCATTCAAAGACGGTTGGTCCTCTTTGCCACAATGTCACACAGAGATCACATTCAGTCAATTAACTACTTCGACTAGTTGGTACTTTTCAGAGTCAACGCTTTCACACATATAATCCCCTGTCTCATAAAGTCTGGCCTTCAATAAAAAAAAAGAAAAAAGAAAAAGAAAAACCATACCATGTCAAACTCCTGGAAAGTAAAAAGGTGACACCATGTTTTCTGAGAGAGAGAACCATCACCTTGAATGCCTTGTAAATTTGAATGTTGCAACCCAGTTTGCTTTAAACTCTCAATTGATTTTTACTTTTAGCCAGTGATGCAGTAATATTTTACAGCTCACCTGTTTTAATACATCTGTGACAGCATCCCACACTGGCAAAACAAAACCACAAGATGCAACAGCAACACACGTATAATGAAAATAGCACTTTTTTATGACATTGCAAGACTGGATATTCCTCTCAGATCAGTCTGCACTTTGAATGCAACACAACTCAGTATTTCGCCCTCATAGATCACCCATCTCCTTGCAACACTCAAACATGCACTCATGCAAAATTAAGGTCCACCCTAATGGATTACAGAATTTATAGATAGCCCCCAATGGTTTTGGGGCGACTACTCATACTAATACCAACATAGATTTCAACTATGCTCATTAAACAGCCTAAGCCTCTTAAAACAAGACTATCCTCAGAGATCTGACTTATTTAAATAAAACTTTAGACTTGTTACATGGATTTCCCAGATCATATAGTCAGCATTCTATTCCCCAAATTATGTTGTCTATAGGCTTTGATCAATATGTAAAACATCCCCAAGTTAATGAAGGATTAAAGAGAAATAAATCAGATGTCCAAGAAGGCATTTAACCCTCTGCAAGCTTGGTTCACACCTACTCCTGACAAAAGCAAGTAAAATCAAATTGAAATGCCTGTAAAAGTGTTCCCTGTTATATAGGTTCAATATCAGAGTTATCTGGGCTGAGGAGAATCCACTTTTGAAATACATTACCAAAGTAACTATTTCCGAGGAAATACCTTTTGATTTTTAAAGAGACAAACACTGTCGAGTTAAAAAAGCCTCACCACTGACTCTGGCTCCTTCATGCCAGAGCAGTGTAAACAGGCTCTTAAACCCCCACATCTGGG